GGCCACCCGCTTGGTGAGAGGGCAGCAGGATAGGCCCTACGGAGAGACTGAGGGACCCAAACCTGTTCAGCCTCTGCAAGAGGAGGCTGAGGGGGGACCTGGTGGCTGCCTACAAACTCATCAGAGGAGATCAAGAGCAAATAGGCAGAGCCCTTTTCTCCCCAGCACCACCTGGGGTGACGAGGAACAATGGTCATAAGCTGATGGAGAATAGGTTTAGGTGAGAGATCAGAAGGCGATATTTTACAGTTAGGGTAGCCAAAATCTGGAATCAACTTCCCAGGGAAGTGGTCCTCGCCCCTACCTTGGGCAAATTCAAGAGGAGGTTGGATGATCACGTGTCTGGGGTCTTGTGAACCCAGCATTCATTCCTGCCTGTGGCAGAGGGTCAGGCTAGATGATCTGTTCAGGTCCCTCCTGACCCTAGCTACTATGAAACTATGAAAACCAGTACTCTATGGCAAGCATCTCAGCCTCTGACTGAGGTCACAACCAAACTGTAAGTGTAAAGTCCAGAGGACAGATAAACATACAGTACTGTAGACAACTGCAGCTCTAGAGGAAAAAGTTTATAGTTTCATAGTTTCAGGGTCGGAAGGGACCTAATAGATCTTCTAGCCCGACCCCCCGCCAGGGCGGGAGAACAACAAAAGAACCCTAAAAACAAAAAACGGGACTCAAATGAGTCCAGCCAGGTAGGTATCCAGCCTCTTCTTAAAGATCCCCAGGGTAGGGGCCAGCACCACCTCCCTTGGAAGTTGGTTCCAGCTCCTAGCCGCCCTAACTGTGAAGTAGTTTTTTCGGATGTCCAATCTGTACCTCCTCTCCATCAACTTGTGCCCATTACTCCTTGTTATGCCAGCGGGGGCTAGGGGAAACAGCGTCTCCCCCAAACCCTTCTGGTTCCCCCTAGTGAGTTTATAGACGGTCACCAGGTCCCCCCTCAGCCTTCTCTTGTGGAGGCTGAATAGGTTCAAGTCCCGCAGTCTCTCACTGTAGGGTCTGCCCTGTTGTCCCCGGATCATGCGGGTGGCCCTCCTCTGGACCCTCTCCATGTTGTCCACATCCCTCCTGAAATGGGGCGCACAGAACTGGACACAATACTCCAGCTGCGGCCTGACCAGCGTCGCATAGAGGGGGAGGATCACCTCCCTGGCTCTACTCGAGATGCACCTGTGGATGCACGACAAGGTCCGGTTAGCCCTGCCAACCATGACTAGAGACTTATAATTGTCTCTAGGCACATAAGAAATTCACATCAAAATGGGAAGGCTGGCAACAAGCCTTATTTTTCCCATCTGCAGAGGAGGGCAAGAATTGCCGTGCAGAGTTAATACCAACACAGAACATACATGCCGTTAATATTTGGCTGCCTGCAGCAAAGCAGATGTAATCGCTACCTGTTCAGTTTTTCTCGCAATGAGATTCCCAATGGTCTTGCTGAAGAAACTGGCAAGCAACGGGTTCAAAGGTGGCTCATGATCCAGGAAGTCATAAAGGATATTCAACAAGGTTTCATCCCCTCCTAGCTTGTCATTGATCTGCGGCACATCAGAGGTCAGCAGTTCACAGGCGGTGTTTGGGTATCTGGAGACAGAACCACAGCAGCCGAAGGTGAGATTAGAGCCCTCATTAAAAATATCACTTTGCAACAGTTTCTAGGAAGTAAACGCTGAAATCCATCCATGTTTCTGATCCCGAAACCTCGCTTTGGAACTTCAACTTCAAACATGCATCGTACAGAGGCTTCCTATCCACTTTGCCCGTCTGCTCGCAGAAAGTCATTTAGGAAAGGTCTAATTAGGAGCTCACCACCACACACGCAGGCTATTGTCATCATACAGCACAGGTCCAATACACAGAACTGTACAAACATACGCGCCCTTTCAAATGCTCCAGAAGCAGATGAAGCACTTCAAAACAATACCTCTTTAAATGAGGAATATTTTGAAGCATTTCAGTTTTTGTTAGGTATTTACAAAGACAGGAGACCCATAGGTCCTGCAGTACCCCACGGTGCTCTGCTCCCTCTCTACCCCCTCCATAAAGGGGGTGAGAGGAAGAAGCAGTGCGGGCAGTGCTCAGGCCGAGTGACAGCCTGCAGACTGTACAGCTATGGGATCTGCTCCCGTAAAAGGGAGAGAGAGAGCAGACTGGGGCTGGAGAGTCAAAATCCCGGCAGCAGGGAGCTGGAAATTCCCGGCCACTGTCCTCCACCCTCCAGAGACATCTTCTAGACCCTCTAGTGCCTCTCGACTGCAGCAGTTTTGTAACATTCGAGCAGGGAGCGCCATAGGGACTGGCTGAAACATTTCCCAGCACATTTCCTAAAATACTTCTGTCCACGCCCCAAGATGGCCTGACACTGAAGAGGGGAGGGTTTCCTCTTCAGCAGCTCAGCAAGCCACTTATAGGGGCCACAGCCATGAATACTGAGCTTCCTGCTGGACAATCAGCCCATCTCCATGACCTGCTGCTATCAAGAAAGGAAGAAAAAAAAGAAGCCCAGAGCCTGTTTTCAACCCAAGCTGCCTTTCCTCTACTGGCAGAGCGAGTGTAATTTCCCTTTGCAAACAAAAACACCCACAGCCAAACAACTCGACACCTTTTAGGAATGGAAACGCATGAAACAATCTTGCATTGTAAGCACGTTCATTTCCTCAAACATCAAATGGCACAGACACCATCCGGAGAAAAACCTTTGCAACTGCAAGTAAACCAAATGACTCTCGTTAGCTATGTCAGGCCTCTTGCACCAGTCCGGGCTTCCGAGCAACGGCCACGTTTACCAACCCGCTTTCTCAGCTCTTCTCCCATTACAACTTTGTCACCAACATATTCCGAATATATTATCTTACCGGAAATCTCAAAAGCAAAGACACGGTGGCTGCTATGAGAGCCCTGCTAGTGGGAAGTCAGGTAGAAAGCAGGGCAAGGTAGCACCTTATAGACCAACGCATTCAGAGAGGCATGAAAAGTCGGTAAGGTGCCCCGGCCTTCTTTCTACTGATGTTAAACAAGCTTGACATGAATCTGTCCTCCTGAAAAAAGTCATAGCATCAGAGATAGTGAGGGTTGGAGGTCACATCTCGTCCAACCCCCTGCTCCAAGCAGGACCAGCCCCAACTACGTCATCCCGGACAACGCTTTGTCTACTCAGGTCTTCAAAACCTTCATGGATGGAGATTGCACCACCTCTCTGGGGAGCCTGTTCCAGTGCTTTACTACTCTGCTAGCGAGAAAATTCTTCCTAATGTCTAACCTCAACTTCCCCTGCTGCAACTTGAGACTATTGCTCCTTGTTCTGCCATCACTTCAGGGGGGAAGTGTCCTAGACAAACCAAACCAGTTTCAGAAAAGATGGATTCAAGCCAGAATATGTGCAGACAAGAGCTACGAAGATGACCAGGGAAGCATGGAGGCTATCCGGCAAAGGAAAACCACATGTGCTTGGCTGCTGAAGCCTTGCAAAATGAAGGCCAAGAGGTATCCAACTGCTGGCTATAAATACAAGGGGAGCAGGACAAACACCAGGGAACGAGAGGAGCTGTTTCAGCTACGGGATGATGCCAGCTCATGGACAATTGGGGATAAACAGGTCATGACTACATTTAGACTGGAAATCAAAAGGATCCCAAGCACCAGAGCAGGGAGGAGCAGGAAAGGCCTCCCCACCAGACCAGTGACAACAAAACCATGACGTCTAAGACGGAGCTCAGTGAGCTTACAGAGGGGTCTATAGGCTGTGCTGCCTGAAATAGCAGAGATCTGATCTGATGGCCCATGAGGTCCTTTCCAGCACGACAATCCAATTTCTACTCAAACTGTAGAAAAAAAAAGTGTCAACGGGTTTTTGTGATACCTTTTATTGGGTGAACTGTAGAGTTGGGAGAGCTGCTGAACAAGTTTTCAGGCATCTTCAGGACCCAAGGCAGGGCACTTGATGTCCGAAAGCTTGTCCAGAAGCTCTCCTGACTATAGTTAACCCAAAAAGAGATCCTCACCTCTCATACCTTTCCTGGACCATTGCTACCACAACACTCCAGCCCTACTAAAAAAAAGGTGACACTTTTGGGGGCAAAAAAACCCACACTTACCTGGGCCCATTTTATTGGACAGAGTCCAGTGGAGGGCATTGAAAATGGTTGTGAGGCTGGGGGATAGGACTGGTGAGGAGAGGTTGAGGGAACTGGGTTGATTTAATCTGGAGAAGAGAAGACCAAGGGGGATTGAATAGCAGCCTTCACCTCCCTGCAGGGGGGATACAAAGAGGATGGAGCTGGGCTGGTCTCAGTGGGGGCAGATGGCAGAAGGAGCAATGGGCTCAAGTTGCAGCAAGGGAAGTTGAGGTTGGATATTAGGAAACACTTTCTCATAAGAAGGGTGGTGAAGCACTGGAACAGGATCCCCAGAGAGGTGGTGGGATCTCCATCCTTGGAGGTTAAGGCTCAAGTAGACAAAGCCTTGGCTGGGATGATGTAGTTGGGGCTGGTCCTGCTTGGAGCAGGGGGTTGGACTAGATGTGACCTCCTAGATCCCTTCCGGCCACGATCTTTTCACTATATTTCACAAGTTTTGTTTCCTAAGAATTGGGCCGGCTTGCATGTGACATTCGGTTGGCAGATGCAGGAGCTCCAAGTGCACCCCACTGCCATGTAGGCTTCTAGTCCAAAACAACTAACAAATGAACCTGAAGCTCTCCCTCCCACGGAAAACATTTAACCAAACAAGCAGCTCAACATCCTCTGCAAGCCAGCACGAGGATGCCAAGGCCGTTCCTGCGCTTATGATTTAATGTCTTGCAAGGATTGCACGGGGCCCCGGTGGAATGGTAACTGCTTCATGGAAGCGCAAATCGTTGGATGTCAGCCCAGAGCAACACAACTGATAAAGGTCAAGACTGCTGCTACCTACAAATACCCTTACGGGCTATTGATTCTCCGCACAGGAAAACAGAGCCCAGTGAATCAGCATTCATGCTACAGGGAAAAGGAAAACATCGGCCCTTCCAAATCAAAGGCTCCTGCATGACTCCAGCATAGAAAACCATCCCCTTCCAAACACTCCAACCACCAGCATTTATATCTCAGATAATTTTAGCTAGATTAAGCTGCTCTCTTTAGGCACAGTCTAGACCAGTGGTTCTCAACATTTGTGTACCAGGGCCCATTTGTAAACATCGATGGCCAGTCCCGACCCAGTGCCCCTCACCCCCGACCCGCTGCCCCACACCCCCAGATGCCAGGGTGTGGGGCAGTGGGTGGGTATGTAGGGCATGGGGGGCCCCAAGCAGCCCCTTGCAAGCTGGAACTCTGCCAGCCTGCAAGGGAAAAGCCACCGTTTCCCACTTTTTTCTCCTTTAAGGAGAATCTGTTTTTAAAGTTTGTTGATCCATTTTTAAACATTGTTTGCAACCCTTTCAAATATTCTTGCAACCCACTTTTGGGCTGCAACCTGTGGGTTGAGAAATGCTGGTTTATGCTATTACTACAGCAAGAAAACTATTGTGATTTGCGACATGTGTTTTGATTTTACCCACAATTTATCAAATCAACACTTAGTGCATAAAGTTGCATGGGGTAGTTAGACTGGTGTAATGTGCTCCCCATGGTGTACCTGCCTCCACAACAAGAAGGATGTGGTTATACTGTACTAGCATGCAGAGGCAGGCAGACTCCCAAAGCACGTTTACTCCCATCTCAGTCAAGGTGTCCGCTCAAGAGGAGGGCAAAGAAAGCACAAGGACATCCTCAAGGAGAATTTGAAGAAATACATCAGCATCAACACATGGGAAACTATCACCCAGGACCGCCCTAAATGGAGAAAGAGTCTGCTGCAAGGATCTCAGGACTCTGAAACTTCACTATGACAACATGAGATGGAAAAGTGGGAGAGGCAGAAACAGCGCATCTTGGACTGAACCGAGAAACCAGAGCCACCCACCCCGCACAGAAACACGTGCCCGAGCTACAGCAGAGTCTGTCGATCCCAGATTGGCCTCATCGGGGTAGGGCTAAGATTCAGAGTGACCTCAACAAATTGGAGGATTGGGCCAAAAGAAATCTCATGAGGTTCAACAAGGACAACTGCAAAGTGCTTGGGACAGAACAATCCCCTGCACCGGTGCAGGCTGGGGGTGACTGGCTGGGCAGCAGCTCTGCAGAAAAGGACCTGGGGGGGACAGTGGACGAGAAGCTGAACAGGAGCCAGCAGTGTGCCCTTGTTGCAGAGAAGGCTACTGGCATCCTGGGCTGCACTGGTAGAAGCGCTGCCAGCAGATCGAGGGCAGTGATTCTTCCCCTCTATTCAGCACTAGGGAGGCCACATCTGGAGTCCTGTGTCCAGCTGTGGCCCCCCACTGCAGAAAGGATGCAGGCAGACTGGAGAGAGTCCAGTGGAAGGCAACAAAAATGGTTCAGGGGCTGGGGGACAGGACTGATAAAGAGAGGCTGAGGGAAATGGGTCTACTCAGTCTGCAGAAGTGAAGACCGAGGGGGATTGAATAGCGGCCTTCAACTTCCTGCAGGGTAGTTGCAAAGAGGATGGAGATGGACTGTTCTCAGTGGGGGCAGGTGACAGAAGGAGCA